CTCTTCCTGTTGCTAATTTCTACCTTGATGGCGTTGTGATCAGAGAAGATACTTTGTATGATCTCAGTGTTTTGGATTTTGTTGAGGGTTGCTTTGTGGCCCAAGACGTGGTCTATTCTGGAGAATGTTCCATGTGTGTTGGACAAGAATGTGTACTTTGCAGCTGTTGGTTGGAGTGTTCTATATATAGCTATGAGTTCAAGCTGGCTGATTGTGGCCTTTAGATCTTCTGTATCTTTGTTGAGTTTCTTTCTAGATGTTCTGTCCTTTACCGAGAGTAGTGTGTTGAAGTCTCCTACTATTATTTTGGAACTGTCAGTTTCTCTTTTCAGTGCTGTTAAAGTTTGTTTTATGGATTTTGGAGCCTTGTCATTGAATGTGTAGATATTTATTATGGTTATGTCTTCCTGCTGGATTGTCTCTTTAATCAAGATATAGTGCCCCTCTTTGTCTTTTATAGTGGATTTTGTTTTAAAGTCTGTTTTATCTGAGATCAGTGTTGCCACTCCTGCTCTTTTTTGGTGGCTTTTTGCTTGATCTATTTTTTTCCATCCTTTGATTTTTAATAAATTTATGTCTTTGTTTCTGAGGTGTGTCTCTTTTAGACAGCATATTAATGGATCCTGTTTTTTAATCCATTCTGTCACTCTCTGTCTCTTTATGAGTGCATTTAGGCCATTTATATTCAGTGTAATTATTGATAGGTGTGAGTTTATTATTGTCATTTTGTAGTGCTTTTTTTTTTGTGGTGCTGATGTTTTCTTTGTTCCTCTTACTGTCCTGTGCTGAGTTCCTTTTTTTTGTGGAGTTTTTTTCTTTTGTTTTTGTAGATTTTTTTTTTTTTACTGAGACTTTATGTTTTTCTTCTTTATTTTGATGAGTAGGTTTGTTGACTTTCATTGTGGTTACCTTGAAACTTACCCTTATCTTCCTAAGTTTAAACCAGTCTATTATTACTTGGTATCACCCTGCCTTCTTCTCCATTAGAAAGTTCCATACCTACACCGTTCATTCCCTCTTTTATTGTTCTGATGTTGTTTTCATTTGCAGATTAACCTCTCTGGTTCCCTGTTGTAAATCTTTTGATTTTGAATAGTCCTTGAGCGTTTATTTCCTAGGTTGGTATCTGGCTAGTGGGATCTTGTGTCCTAGATTCAGGCTGTCGTCTGATGTTGTTTGTTCTCAAACTGAAGGACTTCCTTTAGTAATTCATGTAAGTTTGGTTTGGTTTTTACATATTCCCTTTATTTCTGTTTATCTGAAAATGCCCTAATTTCACTGTCATATTTGAACAAAGAGTTTTGCAGGATATATTATTCTTGGTTGACAGTTTTTTTCTTTCAGGGTTTTATGTATGTTATCCCATTGCCTTCTTGACTGCATGGTTTCTGCTGAGTAATCAGAGCTTAGTCTTATTGTTTCCCCTCTGTATGTGACTTTTCAGTTTTCTCGAGCTGCTCTCAAGATTCTTTCTTTGTCTTTGGTTTTAGGGAGTGTAATTATGATATACCTTGGTGATTTTCTTTTCGGGTCTATCCTATATGGGGTTCATTGAGCTTCTTGTGATGGTCAGCTTTTCATCTTTCATGATATTGGGGAAGTTTTCTGTCAGCAATCCTTCAATGATCCTTTCTGTGTTTTCCATTTTCTCCCCTTTTTCTGAAATTCCGATCACTTGCAGTTTTTTGCTTTTGATTGTATCGTACATAATTTTCAGGGTTTCTTTATTTTTCTTTGTTCTTTTTTCTGATTTTTCCTCAAACAAAATTATATCCAAGTATTAATCTCCAATTTTTCTGATCCTGTCTTCCATTGTTTCAAACCTGTTCCTCAGCCCTTCTATGACACTGTCCATTTCTGAAATCTTGTTGTTTATCTTTCGGTTTTCTAATTGTTTTTGTATGATTTCTAGTTGTGAATTTATTGTGGCATTTTGTTTCTGTATTATTTTCCTGAATTCTTCCATTTTTTTTTTTGTCTGTATTTTCCATGAACTTGTCTATTTTTTCCTCATTTTTGTCTTTTTGCTTCAACTTTTGGACAGCTCTGAATATCAGGTAGTTCTAATGCCTTTTCTTCTACTGGAAAGTCATCTGGTGTTTTATTTTGGACTCCTACTCGAACTGTCCTGTCCTTTTTTAAATATGTTTTGATATTATCTGCTGTCTTCAGGACATTCAGTAGTTATTTTCTTCGTTTATTGATTGTAGATTTGTTTGTTTCTTCCTGTATTTTTGGTTTATTTGGTTATGTCTTAGCAGGTGGGCTGTGCGTTCTTTATTGTTTGCTCATCTGTGGACACGATATTTTTCACCTCCTTGTCCAATGGGCAGGGCCAGTTGCCCAGCTATGGTGCAGCAGGGCAAGTGCAGCTGAAGGGGAGGGGCTGGAATGCCTTGTTTATGGCATGTACTGGGGCCAACAAGGTGAGCTGGTGGTCAGTGCAGGACAGGTTCCAGTAGGTTGTGTCTGTGCTGCTTGGGAGTGCAGTGTTCAGCACATGGTGCAGATAGGAGGGAGGGGGAGGGAGAGGTTGTGATATGTGGAGCTAGGTTGGTTATGGAAAAGAAGAGAGAGAGAAGAGAGAAACAGGAGCAATAAAAAAGTGCTGAGGGAGTTTGCGGTTGGAGTGGAGAGACAAGAAACAGAGAAATGAAGAAAAACAAAAATAAAAAAATTAAAATTAAAAATTAAGGAAAAAAAAAAAAAAAGCCCCCAGGGATCCCTGTGCAGACCGGAGAAGTGGCTCCCAAGCCATGCAGTGCAGCACAGCTAGAAGGAGTGGAGATGATACACAGCACCAGGTATTCAGGAGACAGGAAAAGAACGTAAGTAGAAAGAGATGAGAAACTGAGAAATGAAGAAAGCTAAAAAGGAAAAGAGAAAGAGGAAACAAACAAACAAACAAAAAAGGCCCCCAGGGATCTCACTAGCATGGCCGTGTGGACCAGGGAGGTAGTTCCCCAGCTGAGCAGCACTTTACAGCCTGTCAGGAAGATGCAAAGATGGCACGTGGAGTCAGGTGTTTGAGAGAAAGGAGAGGGAGGAGGTGAGAGGCAGGGAAGAAACCAAGAGGCCGAAAAAAAGCAACACTAGCAACAAAGAAATGGCAGTGAAGAAGCTGGCCAGTGTGGGTGGGGCAAATCCGCGCAGCACAGAACTGGTGCCTCCCATGCCGCAATTGCAGCCCACTGGGAAGTGGCAAATCGGCCCGCTGGGAAGCCAGGAATTGGCCCTCCAGGAAGCTGGGAATCAGCCCACCGGTAAGCTGGGAATCAGCCCTCTGGGAAACCGGGAATCAACCCTCCGGGAAGCCGGGAATTGGCCTGCTGGGAGGCAGCCACTCCGCCCTCCAGAAGCTGGGAATCGGCCCACCAGGAAGCCATGGATCAGTCAGTTGTGAAGTGGCAAAAGTTGAGCAAGGGGAGGCAGGGTGAGGGGTTGGAAAGCATCTCCCTGGTTACCGGGTTCCTTGTCTCCTGCTGGGAGCTCCATAAACCTGTTTTCCCATACTCCCTATCTGCTGGTCTCTGACAGGAGTCCAAGATGGTGGATCCGTGCTGTGTTAGCTGATAGGTGACCTCTGCTCCTAACTCTCCTTGCTCTCTTCTCGTCAGTTTCTTATTCCATTCAGTGCTTGGTTGAGTTCTTGATCTCTTCATTTGACGCCTAGGGTTCCAGGATTGACGTTTGTCTCTGTTTTACTTAGTTTTTTTGGTCTTTGCTGTGGAGGGATGGTGTGGTACTTCTGTCTATAGTGCCATGTTGGCTTCACCCTTTCTTTCCTGTCTTTTTAATGACCTTTTGCTTTCTTCATATGTAATGTACTTGATGTCATCCCACAACTCCTCTGGTCTTCAATCACTTTGTCAAATCTATCCTTGAGATGGTCTCTAAATTCAGGTGGGATATACTCAAGGTCGAACTGTGGCTTTTGCGAACTTGTTTTAATTTTCTTCAGCTTCAACTAGAACTTGCATATGAGCAATTGATGATCTGTTCCTCGGTTGGCCCCTGGCTTTGTTCTGACTGATAATACTGAGTTTTTCCATTGTCTCTTTACACAGATGTAGTCGATTTGATTCTTGTGTTTTCTATCTGGTGAGTTCCACGTGTCTAGTCGCCATTTATGTTTTTGAAAAAAACGTATTTTTTTATTGTCATGCAATCTCTGGTGTTTCTGTCACCAAGGCAGTATTTTCCAACTTCTCATCCTTGTTTCCAGCTTTCACATTCCTATCACCAGTAATTATCAACACATCTTGACTGCGTGTTTGATCAATTTTGGACCGCAGAAGTTGATAAAAGTCTTCAATTTCTTCATCTTTGGCGTTAGTGGTTGGTGTGTCCTTTCCTCTTAGGGAGCATATGGAAATATGAGGACAGTGTTCGGTTGTCACAGTGACTAGGCAGTGCTATTGGCATTTAGTGGATGGGGTCCAGATGGTTAAATGTCCTAAAACATAGGATGGCATCACACAAGTAATGATTATCCTGCCCAGAATGTCTCTTGTGTCCTCATTGAAAAATATGGGGCCTGTTGTATCATTTTCTTTATTGGTGATACTGTCGTGTTGCTCTCTATGCCTTCTTTTTCTGACCTGTAGATTGAGATGACAATATCTACTTCAAAGGGTTTGTATTAAGAAATAAGATCATGAGTGCTGTAGTGCTTAAGCAGTACAGTGCCTGGCTCATAAGTGGTTAATAAGTGATTATTACTACATTATGCATTTGTACTACTGAATTTATTCATTTGTTCAGTTAAGCCCGTTTTCTCAGATGGAGAACTATCTTACTTAAATTCCAACCACCACCACCCCCCCCACTTTTTTTTTTCCCTAAAGACAAACCTTATGTGACCATTTGGGTTAATAGGACATAAAATGTAAGCATTAAGAAGATTTTTCTTTGAAATGTCTCGTATTCTGATTTATCTTACTCTAATTTGTCTCCCTTTGATTTGTTTCCTCCCCCTTTTATTGTAACAACCTTTCCAGTTCACACGGACACAATGGAGCCAGCCACACCAGCCTCACAAGTCCAGAAATCTCCAAACTCTGAGTGGTTGATCAGGACCTCTGCAGCAGAGAAAGCCACTGACTCAACTACAGCTACATTTTTTAAAATGCCACAGGAAAAGAGCCCTGGATACGGCTAGAGAGCAATACTTACCCCACCAGGAGCTGACTGGGTGGTGTTGAAGCAAATTTTAGACTTTGTATTATAGAGTCTTGCATATCTTGGTTGGCTTTCCCCATCCTTTCGTCCTTCTACCACCAGTACTGGCTCCTCTTCAGACAGAGCAGTGGACTCTTTCTCTTGGAAAATCATGTTGCGGGAATCTGTTTTTTTTAAAAAAAAATTAGCAAAGTATTGGGGCAGCAATTTTAAAAAAATGTCTTGCTGTGCTACATCTGTTACATTATTATTGCTGTCCCAACATCTACCTACAGCTCCATTTACAGTGTTGTTGCTTTATTTGCAGTTGTGTATTTGTTGTTGAAAAACTAGTGACTACTTTTGCACACTCTTTGTGTAGAGCCTCTAATGTCAGCTAAGGAGGATGCAAATTTGCAGCCAGTTCTGGACAGTTTTAAACACTGAGTTAAGGCTTGTACGGAATTGCGCTTCAGGAGATGAGGCTTGCCTTTGGGCCTGGTCTTGATTCACTCAGAGTGCCAATAAGATAAATCAACCAATTTCTGAATGTGAGACCTCAAAAGAGAGACCAGCAGCATGGGCCTTGGGAATGTCTTTCATTTTCCTGCAGATGGCCTGATGGGATCACCAGCAGTGCATTGTACTTTGCCTCATCTCCAAAGTTCAGTTTCAAGTGAAAGAGGACCTATAAACCTATACAGGTTGGTGTAATGAAGAAGGTGGGTTAGGTGCTCAGCAAACTCAAAGTAGTCAGTGGGTTGTTTCTTAATACTTCATGTCACAGTGTAAGCCTTTATGTACTAAGTGGGACTTTTATTAGTAATATAGGTCAGTAACCTGAAGCAAAAATTCATACTCTATTATAATAATGGCTTCTTGGGGCCATATTTGGGGAGGAAAAATGTCTTTTTGACATGCCTTTCTACTTGGCATGTTTATGATGGCTCACCTGCATGTAGAGTTATATATACAGTCATGCCTGAAGTTGGATGCTGCTTTGTCAAAATGAGGAATAAGTGACTGCCTGCAGCTGCTGGAGAAAAGCCACCCTTTCTAAAAAGTCTTATCAAGAGTGTCTGTCATTCAGAGGCCTGGTTAACAGAGGGCTCTTTTTGGTATGAATCAAGTGCTTTCACTCTGAAATGTATGGACTTTATTCTCTAAGTGTGTATTGCTCCATTAATGTTCTAGAGGAACTCTGACTCCTGCACTTGCTTATTTTCTGTGCTTAAAAGGGTGCAGAGTGGGGCGGGGCTTCCTTTCCTCAAAGCGCAGTTGTCCCGTTTTCTCACACAGAATGTAATGGTGGGTGGCTGTATCGTGTTCCCTTATAGTCCTTATCAGTGGTAGCTCCAGAATGCCCTTATTGGTGGGGGTGGGTGGGAATCCGGTTGGAAAGAGGAACTTGGAGCTAAGTTTACATAGCACTTTATGTAAGACTGAGAAAATGCCAGTGGTCCATAACAAGGAATATGTGGAAGAAAGAGGCAGATGGAGATTATGGGGTGGCGTGCAGTGCTAAAGCCACCCCAGCCATCCCTGTGAGCCACCCCGGTCCAGAACGCTTCAAGGCTGCACTTCTCTTCTCCATGGGCTGCACCCATAGAAGTATAGAAAATATAATGTCTGTTGAATATTAAATAGCACAGCTGAGCTTTGCCAGTGATGAGGGTGGGTTTTGTTTTCATATTTGCATTCTTGCCTTGTTCCCACAGTGATTTTTAATGTACTTGGTTAGATTCAAAGGAGAGATCTGTGGGCATGATTGTTTTTTCCTTTGTGTGCCAAGCTCCATGGTTCATGCAGAGATTGATCCTGATTGTGGCACATTGAGACTCCACAGTTCAGGTAGCAAAGGTGTTCCAGCCTTCTTTCCCCATGACATGTTGCCTAGCAGTTTTCCTTTCTAGCTGTAATTAAAAATAATTTATATATACGCTTTTATGTACATTGTAAACATCTCTATGATGTAAGGGTAGGTGACTGCCGCCATTTTACAGAGACGACGACAGTCACAGATTTTAGTGACTTGCCCCAAATCAAATAATCAAGCCAGGACTAACATCTCAGATTTTCTCTGCCCGGCTATATAATCTTTTGTTTTTCGTTGCTAGACCAGAGTCAGTCTGAGACCTCTGTTTATGAAACAATATGCCATGAATGTTTAACTTTCTCAACATGTTTTATGTACATTTTCAGTACTTCCAACAGGGATCACCCAAGAATGCAACATCTACCTGTTGTAATTGGAGAAGGAAATTAGTTGCTTATGAGAATAACTGCTAAGCACACAAATGCTTTCACCACAGGGTTGTAAATTATGCTCCTCGTTTTAAGGTGCTGTATGCGCATGCTTAAGGAATTATTAACCAACTGCTTTTTTATTGTATGTGTTTTCTGTACGAATCATTTCCAGAGGAATAACCTTAGAATTGGGTGTATTTTGAATCTTAAAATTGAAATTTCCTGTTTATATGACATAGTGTGTAATGTCATAAATTAAGAAAACTCTTTTACCTTTCAGGAAAAGATAGAATCTCCCAATCAGGTTTTGTAATCAGTGTTGAAAAAACTCTTACTTTGAGGATGATCCTTGAGCTTAAGTGTGTTTGATCTGCTCCAAGTAATAACTGAAGCTGTGTCCCACAGTTCTTGTTTATTCCAGGCATCTGATTTGTCCCAGCCGGCTGCACAAACTGCCTGTCTGAATCCTAATTCTTGCGTATTTTCCACAGTGGGCAAAAGACAAGACATTCTCTACTTACGTGAGGATCATTCATAAAAAGTTAGTTTGCTTATAAGAGTTTGCGATTATTTTTCAGGTACAGTATTTTAAAGGGACAACTTCATTTGTTTCAAAACTCTTGTGTTGCTTTTTGGTAAGAACTGTCCAGAAGAGGAGATACGTAATCATTTATGTGATGCCAAATTGGTGGGTTGGGGTGGGGGGTGGGAGAGGGGACTGTTGGGGATAGGGTTGAGGGGAAGGGAGTATAATCTTCATTGAATGAGGTGTGGTTGGTAAATAGGCCACATTTAGCCTTGGATTCTTTAGAAATCAAATGCAGTTGAAAATTTCAGACAATATTATAGACTGCAAACGAGGTCATTTTTGCAGCAACATGACCAAAAGCTGAAATAAAGCCTCTTAATCTGTGATGCTTGTGGCATCCTTTTGTCAAGTCCAGCTCAAGTACAAGTAATTGAACTCTTTATAAATCCCAAAGAGATGGAGCTGAGATAACTGCAGTTTGGAAGCCGCATGGCACAGGAGGACCTTATGCTGTGAAGTAAAGGAGACGAGTTCTCACAGAAGTCAGTTAGGGCTGAGGAAGTTGCAGAGTGCTGAGAGAGGAGCTGGGCAGGTACAGTCATCGATGATGTGATGGCTTCTCCACTTTGGCTCCAGGCGACGACTGTTGGGTGATTCATTTCAGGGCTTTGCTTTATTTTAGCTTCATTACTATGGTTCTCAGCCACAGGCTTCTTCTGAGGAGAAGGCAGTGTACGAGTCTTAGCAGTGAAGCTGTATCCTGTGTTCTCTGTGCCCTGTGACCATTATCTGGGCTTAGATGAGAACAGGTGGCTTCCCCAGCTGTGGGTACAGTCTAGTTGGGACCATGGTTTATGGAATGGTGTGAGGGATGGTAGTCAGTTGGCTCTTGCTGTCAGCTATTCCCTTTGTCAATGTCTGAGCTGCCAGTTTACTTGTCACTATTTTCTTATCTCCCACTCGAGCCATGACAGTGGAGTTACTGATGGTGGCAACAATCAGGATGGGTTCTTGCCCTCAGAAAATGTACAGAGGGTAACAGTGAGGAACATGGCACACTGTCCGTCATGCACTAAATGCAGATGGCCCAGAGATGTTTTCACTTCCGTTAAGATCACAAAACAGATGAAAGACGAATGTCTGAAAACAGGAGCATTGAAAACACATGAACAAAATGGGCACTGTTGCTGAAGAGTGTGGATTATTAGGTTTTTAACAAGCCCAGCAAAACAAACATGGCCAAAAGAAGACAATGTTCCACCACTGCAACTAGACATAACCACTTGATAAAATTGCCAGACTTTGGGAATAAAAAATGACCAAGCTCAGTATTGAAGAGTGGGGCAGATCCTGAAGATGCTCACCAAGGAAAGCAATCGTGGCAAGGTGGAGAAGTGGAGAGGCAAAGGGAAGAGGGGGATACTTAGAGCAGGAGTTCTCAGAGTGTCCCTGTACCAGCCTCAGCGCATTCCCACGCCCACCACGCCTACTGAGTCAGAAACTCAGAGGGTGGCGACCAGCAGCCTGTGTCTTAACAAGCGCTTCAGGGGACTTCGTGCTCACTAAAGTTTGAGAGTCACAGACTATCTTAGGCTGGGTTCTCTAAAGAAGCAAAACCAGTAAAGCGCATAAATATATATAGAGAAAGAGATTTATATCAGGGAAATGGCTCCCGCAGTTGTAGAGGCTGTAACGTCCAAGTTCGAGGGTCAGGAAACAGGATTCTCCTGATTCATCTAGCCGCAAGAGCCGGCAAACCCAAGATTGGCAGGCTGGAGGGCAAGGCTGTTGCTCACAGGCTATGAAGATTGACGAATCCCAAGATCAGCAGGCAAGATCACAGGTAAGCTGCTAGCTCAAGTCCCAAGAACCAGAGGTCAGATGAAGAGGGGCCAGCTGCAGGATCCAGAACAAGCAAAAGCCCCAGCAAGGAGAGCAGGAAGAGCCAGGAGCAGAGGGCAGAGAGCCACCACAGGCCCCGCCCCCACCAGTACTCACAGCAGATCCCATCATGGGGGTGATCACATATCAGATCTGAACAGGGAAGTGATCACAACATTATATGACTGCCAGAACACTGAGAATCATGGCCTAGCCAAGTTGACACACAATCTTAACCATCACACAGGCTTTGAGCAAATTTCAGTTAAAAAAAAAAAATGTTTTAATATACTTGTAACACTCTTAGCTCTGAGATGCTTTTGTATTTCTCTCCATTAGCAAAGAGAGGCTATGTGTATGATTCTTTACAAGAACTAATAAGATTCCATACTTTTTTCCTCAAGATCCTGAAAGATCCCCTGGAATTATTTATGAGAAAGCATAGTATGGTGGAAAATGCCCAGAAGGCCATATTTAGATGGGTAGAAATACCTTTTAAACTGGATTAAAGTAGAACAACAATGAATTTTTAGCCTATGAATGATAGTCGTTTTTAACAATTGACAGTAAAAAATTTGTGTAAGATACTGCCAACCATGATTTTATGATATTCATTAGATCTTAGTTTTGAGGGAAAAAATGTATTTTCTAGCATGATAATGATGGATCCTTTAAAGTGTAGCTCACAACAATTAAAAATAATTGGGGAAAAAACACTCTGGGTACATAGCAGATGTGTAATAAATACCTTTTCAGTTATATCTTTTGCTACGACTTCATCTCAGTACTTCAGAGCACATAAAAATACAATTTTAAGTGATCCCACTTAATCACACAGATTGTTTTACATTTCAGCTAGTGATTCTGCAGGAGCTGGGGATACCATAGCAATATCATCCTGTATCTTTTTATTGTCTGACTCACGGATTCAGCATTTCAGAAGATGGACTCTAATCTTAAAGCTTTGGATTGAAATCATGGCTGCTTTTATTTTATATATTATTTGTATTAATTAGGATGGGCCCTAACTTGTTGCTGAAGCCTATGAGCCCAAATTCTCTCAGGGGACATGCGTGGCTAAAGAGTTCATTGTGCTGCTTGCAAAGGTATACTAGAACTTCTATAGTACCATTTCTTCAGATGCTCATATGTAGGCTATTTAGCTCTCATTTACATTTTTGCAATCTTAAAACATTATATAATTTTTCCATTCCATCTTGAAGATTTAATGCAAAATAATATAAAATAAGCAACCAGTTCAGGTCTTTAAATTGGCTTCAAGTAGATGGTCATTTTTTTAAGTACTCCTCACCAAAAAGTTCTCTTCAAAGAAATATAAAGGAAAAAGGCAAACCCAACTTCCTACTTGAAGACCAATTAAAACTACCTCCAGCCAAAAATGTGTTACTAGATATTATAAAGATGTGGGGATATGAAACGTTGGAAGCCTTTTAAGATGTCAGTTATGAAAATTAATGTTTCCTTTTTTTAAAAGTTCTGATCCCTGGCAGATCCCTCATTCAAATGTTTTTAATGGAAAAAAAGGCAGGAAGTATCAGAGAACTTAAAAAATGGCTTTGGTGGCTTTGTCTTAAAATTGGTCTGTTTAACTATGTAATGTATAAATTCTACATCTTGCTCCTCCCAGTGGGCCATGTGTTTCCCTGTGATGTTGTTCTGTGCCATTGAGTTGACTCTGACTCAAAGCGACCCTATAGGAAATTGCCCCATAGGGTTTCCAAGGCTGTAATCTTTATGGGAGCACATTGCCAGATCTTTCCTCCCACAGAACCGCTGGTGGTTTTGAACCTCTGATCTTCGGTTAGCAGTTTAGTGCTTTAACCATTGCACCACCAAGGCTCCTTTTCTTTGTGATATGACCCTGCTAGGTAATGCCACCCGAAAATTATGGTGAAATTGGAATTGCTTGCAGTGTTCTTATTTGTCACCCCATCTCCTGTTCTCAGCAGCTTTTGCAAACTGGCCACCCTTTCTACTCCCACCTTCCCTTCTCAACCTCAGCAGCTAATCTCACCCCTCCCTAACAGATAATACAGAGCAGACCTGGCAGGAACTTCCCCACCCAGGCACCTCCACATATACCCTTTCTGACCTCTTTCCCTTTGTGCATGTCCTGCCCAAGATGCCCCTTCTTCTATATCCTAGGTCCCACTCTGTTCTTGCTCAGACGCCTCAGCCTCAGCCTCTCACCACTGGCACGTGCCGCTTTGCATTTAAATATGTTCAAAGCCTCCCTCTCCCAATAAAAATACCCCTCCTCAGCCCTTTGAAGTCCTTGACTACCACTAAAGTATACTGCCCTCACCAGCACTTTCTGCCATTAATCCCTCATTAATTCCTCAATCCACTGAAGCAGTGGTTTCTAACCTTGGCTGCACACTAGGATCACCTGGGGAGCTTTAAAAAATCCTAATTCCCAGGCCGAACTACAGACCAGTTACATCAGAATGGGAAGGTGGGGACAGGCTTCAGTATTTTTAAAGCAATGTACAGCCAAGGCTGAGAGCCACTACACTAAAACCTGGTGCTACTCTCACCACCATCAAAATTGTCCTTGTTGGGTTCACCAATGACTTCTAGTTTAGATTGATCTTTATGACATTGATACGGTATAACCACTTCCTTTTTGGAATCTTCCCTTTTCTGACCCTGCCCTCTCCTGATTTTTCTCCTATTTCTTAGCTCTTTCAGTCTCCACAGGTAGGTAGGCTGACTGGTAGGTCATTCAGACAGACCATGAATGTGTCTGCCTCCCAACACCCATTGCGTCAACACTATGCTAATGAGTTTCTTCTCCATATGACCTTAGTGCACTGGCTTCCACACTTAGAGTTGACATCCATTAATAATTATTGTAGCCACCTAGGAAAGAGCAGGAGCCCTGGTGGTGCAGTGGTTAAGAGCTCGGCTGCTAACCCAAAGGTTGGCAATTTGAATACACCAGCTCCTCCTTGGAAACCTATGGGGCAGCTCTACTCTGTCCTGTAGAGTGGCTATGAGTCAGAATCTACTGAACAGCAGCCTGTAGAAAAGAGCATACTCAGCTCTCTGCTCCTCCCCTCACTCTTGCCTTTGCTCCTCCTCCAAGCCTACCGAGGGGACAGGAATTGCTCATCAGATTCTCAGATGGATCTCTCCTGCTTACTTGTAGGTGGAGTTGCTGTTCATGAAAAGTCAGGCTTGGACTGTGGTCCCCGCTTCTGCTTTTTCCTTTCCAGTGTGTTGGAATGATAAGGAGGCCTGGGCC